TTTCTTTGTGTGTGTGTGCCCTCAATAGAAAACACTGTTTTGTGTGCCCTAAATGCAACAATTACAAAAGCACCCTCCTTGAAAAATTGTAAGAGAGGCTAGCAGGGTAGAGATTTAAAATAAACAGTTAAAGAGGAAAAGCTAAAGAAGCATCCTCCTCAAATTACTAAATCTATGGTCCTAAAATCTACAAACTTCACAGGGAAAAGATTAACTGCAGACTTAGTAAAGCTGGGACATTCTGGAGTGAGCACATTAACAATGTGAAAAATCAGCAAAACTTGTTTGCCACGAGCAGCCTCCCTGAAATAGGCTCTAATTTATGTTTCGTTTCTTCTGCTTTCCAGCCTCTTCTCTTTGAAGCAGCTCTTGATTAGTTTCTTTTTAATTGCCACTTAATTGGGAAATAAAATTAGAACACTTATTTGATATGAGTGATGAGGCTTCTCTTTTCATTTCTGCTTTGATCTAGTTTTGAAAAACCAAAAGCTGAAGGGAGCGATTAAGAAAAAGAAACTAAAAGATTCCTTCTTTCCAAGAGCTAGATGCAGTTATAAGCCATCAAATAAATATGGAAAGAATAACTCTTTGGAGAACCTGAATAAATAAAAAAAAGCAAGGATAGCTTATGGAATTCCTTTAAAAAAGACCATTCTTCTCTGTTAAGTTTCTTCATATGGGATAATAATGCATAATTAGGAAGGAGGAAAGCTTTTCAGAACCCATCTTAACCTGTCCCCATGGAGTAAGAGAACAGGACGGAGAAGAGGCCCTTATTAAAGGGTCCGTGACCCATGGCTTAACAGCACCTCAGTGGTACAGATGACATTGCAAAACAAATTCCAAAGACTCCTAGGAACCAAAGAGTTTAAAAGTTCCTTCCTGTTCCAAAACACCCAGATAAATATTACCTATTTGGTACTCCAAAATCTGCCAGCCGGTTAGGTTTATTCTTTAGTGATACTTCTTGGAAAGCCTTTCATGAAAAACAAACAAGCAAATAAACCATATATGTAGATGAATCATGAACTGCCGGGGGACGTGGCATAAAGATGATCTTAGTCTGACCCTCCTCTCAACTGCTGAGGGCAATTAACTTACGTCAGGCAAGTTACCAGGGTAAAAACACTGCCCTCCTTTTCTCTGTTGAGTGAATTAAAAAAAAAATAGCTGACAGAAAAACTGCAGACAGATACATACACACACACAATGTGTATGTATGCATGTGCACTTATACACTCATATGTATATATGAAATTTAGACTCACCAAATGTTAATTAGGGAAGAAACACATGACAAGGAAAGTCAAGAACTTATACACAAAGGAACATAAGGAAATAGCACAACTGAATTTCCTGTTATTCCAGCACATGAATGTAGCTCATTTCATTACTATAAAGCACTGTGATCCCATCCTGAAAGAAAGGCCTAAGAGAATAAGGGTTAGTTTGAACTAATTGCATATTATACTTTAAAATTATTAGCATCAAAGGGAGATATTCCCCTTCAACTTTTATATCACTTTTGAAAACATTTTAAATAATACAAGTAAAGACAATAAAATTTTCAAGAAGCCAAAAAGCAGTGGAAAACTTCCACAGTAAATTGGAGGATCATTGATTTCCATAGGTCAGGGGTCCTCAAACTTTTTTTTTTTTTTTTTTTTTTAAATATATTTTATTGATTTTTCACAGAGAGGAAGGGAGAGAGATAGAGAGTTAGAAACATCGATGAGAGAGAAACATCGATCAGCTGCCTCCTGCACATCCCCTACAGGGGATGTGCCCGCAACCCAGGTACATGCCCTTGACCGGAATCGAACCTGGGACCCTTCAGTCCGCAGGCCGACGCTCTATCCACTGAGCCAAACCGGTTTCGGCAGGGGTCCTCAAACTTTTTAAACAGGGGGCCAGTTCACTGTCCCTCAGACCGTTGGAGGGCCGGACTATAGTTTTAAAAAAAAACTATTAACAAATTCCTATGCACACTGCACATATCTTATTTTGAAGTAAAAAAACAAAACGGGAAGAAATACAATATTTGTATTTGCATGTGGCCCGCGGGCCGTAGTTTGAGGACCCCTGCCATAGGTATTTCACAAAATCTGTAGTAAGGCTTACAATGGGACTTATTTGAGGACAGAAAGTGTATATGTAAGAAAAACCTGACATCCTCGCCCTCAGTGAGGAGAAATGAAACTCCACGAACACTGGGTGAGAACTTTAACTTGCCATTCATTCATCCAGCAAATATTCATGAAGGCACACTAAGAGCCAGGCATCTCAAAGACATGAACCCTGTTCCCAGGCACCTTAGAGTCAGGTGAGGCACCGACTGGACACCTATGTTGCTTAACTAATGTTATGATAAAAGCTACAAAAAATACAGTACGTGATAAGGGCAGGCAGGCAAGCTGGGAGAAGGAAGATCCGAAGACTATGAGGGAGGGGGAAGACTTCATTCCAAATGCTATCTTATTTAATCCCTACAACTAAAGGTTAAGTAACTATTCCAAGGTCATAGATTATTAAGTGTCAGAACCAGGTTTTTACTCAGGGTTTTTGTTGTTGTTTTAAAATGTTTTTATTGATTTTAGAGAGAGAGGAAGGGAGGGGGGAGAGAGAGAAACATCAATTGGTTGCCTCCCATACGCACTCGGACCAGGAACAGAATCCATAACGGGGGCATGTGCCCTAACCAGGAATCAAACCCAAGACCCTTCCGTGCACAGGACCAGGCTCAACCAAATGAGCCACACTGGCCAGGGCTGACCCCAGGTTTGAATGACTCCAGTGTGTATGCTTTTCCTACCGTGCCACACGGCTTCTTCCCAAAACCGTTTACTTTGACAATTAATAGGAAAATGTTGAGTCTACCTCGGAATCTAAATGCCAAAACTAGATCCTGTCCTCCAGGCTGGGTCCTTTGGTTCTCACCTGCCACCTCCAAACTCATTTATTATAAAAACCTCTAGGTTCAAGATGCTAATAAACTTAATTTGTTCACCCTGACTATAACTGTAAACGAAACAACCACCAACAAAAGAAACCCATACAAAGTTTTTTAAGGTTACCACTTTGTTATACTTTAATAAACCAGGGCAGTTTTGCAAAATGATTCATAGATTACAGGGAACAAAACCCATTAATGAGCTACAGACACTGGTCAGAGCAACAGTGTAGCAGGAAAAAAATAAAATAAAAGCAACTACACAGAGAGCAAAGAAACTGTACTTTCACTTCTGAAATGACTTTCTAATTCAACAACTCTCATCTACGAGTGGGATCTCCATTCAGAAGGGCTGCACTTTCCCTTCTTTCTGTTCCTATTTCCTCTTTCTCAGCTCTTCCGTTCTTAGGAATCCCAAACTTCAAAACAAGTTTTCATTACATTAGATCTGTCCTGAGTTATAGCGAAAGAACATAGTCTTATGAAACCAAAATTGACAAGCTTCCTTTTCCTCTACCTTCTTCCCATTTTTAATGCTGGCTGAGAAATACATCTTTTAACCTAAGGGTTCATCACAGGTCGATTATAAGCCACTTTAATAATCCCATGTTCTCTCAGAATTTTTTTTAAAAGTTTATCCAAAGACATCAACCTTCTACCTTTACCTCTAGCAATACCATCAATACTGCAAATGACAAGACGGCTATGAAAATCAGACCACAGATTCGGCCGAAGTTTTACATCCAAAACAGTCTTCCATGACTTTCCATTAACATTACACAAATATAAATATAGATATAGACAGGGAGTGAGCATCAGCACCAGCCACTGCCACCACGTGAAGAGGAATGACGGGGTGTGGCTTACAGAGTGAAAACTGATTTGGAAACAGAACTCAACATTCAAACGCCTGGTACATTTCTCCTGCCCGGGGACAGACAGTTACCTGTAGGCAAGACCCTAACGTCCAGGAGCTGCGGTATTAAACCCACTGCCAAGCACCGTCCAAGAAGCATCACCACTCAATTTCTTGAAGCTTGAGGCGACTTCGCCAAGTTAACAGAACCAATATGCTGGGAGACCTAATTATATATTGTTCAGGCAACTTGTGAATTATCTGGAGCAACAGACACCCTATACATCAAAACATTCTTACACAGTAGTTGTGTAGGGTTTATAAGGTGAGTTTATATTTTCAGATTCTCTGGTAGGGACATTTTACAACATAATTATGGTTTCTATAGCCTGGTTAACTTCCTCCTTGAAGACCAAGCGCAGCGAACTGTTTTATTAGTTATTGCTAATCACGTTGTTCACACACCACCTCTATAAGTAACGTTCCCTTTGAACTGTACGGTTATGTGGACCTGTGTTGTGCCATCGAAAACCATCATCCTACAGGCTCTTTTTCCGGGATGCGCCTGAAGCACACACAGAAGAACTTTTATATAATAAAAGTATTGAATGTCTCCGGCCCTTAATATACTGAGCACCAAACCCTGGTAAATGACAAAGAAAGCAACCAATCACCAGGCAGAATCTCAATGCCTCAGCCAATAAGAACATGGGGGTGGGGTTACACTAAAGCTCCCGGTGACTTCCCCGCACCCCAGAAACCCAGGTGGTGGGAGACTGGACAGGAATTGGACTCCGAGGATCTCGTTACCCCCGGTTGCAGCTGTTGTCCTCCTCGTTCTCGCAGTCGCTGCAGTGCTCATGGCCGTTTCCGTTCCCTTCCATCATCTGCGGCCGCGGAGGGGCCGGCGACTTCACTGCTGTCTCACTCTCGTCCGCCATCTTGAGTTCCAAGAGCCGGCCTCCGCGCCTCGCTACATGGGGGGTTCCTATTGGACGAGGGGAACTGGCGCTATATTCTGGGTTTTGTAGTTTTTGTGGCGAAGGGAGGCGTAAGTGGGCGCGGCTCATTCCCCGGAAACCGGAACAAGGTGGACTACAATACCCAGAAATTATGAGGGGAAGCCGTCGTAGGCCAGGGCCCCCACTACTCGGAAACACTGGGCGTTGGGCCTCGCTCTGATGGCCGGCCCCGTGTGGCCTGCTGGGAATTGTAGTCCGGCGTAAGTTTAGGGTTTCGGGCGTGGAGGCTCCAAAAGCCAAGGTTTGACCTCAGCCTGCCCTTGCTAGTGCCCGGGCGATTGGAGAGCCGTTAGTGACTGCCGTTAAGGACCGTTACCATTCCCGAGTAAGTAAGAGGGTCTGAGGCCCGCGTGTGTGACCCACCGGGGGCCTGAATGCATCAAGCCGTCTTAGAGGGGCTTTCCTGCTAGAAGCCAGGTTGGCTCCGGGCCTCCATCCTTACGCGGGACTCTGGGCGGCCTGTGGTGGTTGGTAGATCAAGGTCTCAGGAGGGGCGGTGGATTGTGATGTGCGGAGCACTGATTCTGAGCCAGGAGACTTGACTGCCGGGTTAGACCTTGCTGCTTCAGGACCCCCAGGTGCCGGTCGCCACCAAGCTCTTCCGCACACAGTGTCTCTTTCTTTTCTTTTCTTTCCGTCACCATGTATCCCCTCTGTGGCCTCTTCCCCCTCCACGCTACAGTGTCCCTTTCATTCTCTGCCGCAATCCTCCACAATTACTCTTTATTGAGCACTTATATACCAGGCTCTGTGGTAAAGATTTTCAAACTTCTCATTTAATTCTTTTTAACAAGCCTAGAATGTGGGCTCTATTCCCTTTTTTTCGTAGAGGAAGAAATGTGGCCCATATTGGTTGGTCAACTACAGTCACATCGCTAGTAAGTGGCAAAATCAGTATATAAATCTTCATTTGTCTGCCCTTAGGCCCTCTTGCTTCTTTGTCACTACAATAGCCCCATTGTGGGTACATCTACCCAAGGACATCAGTTATTAGAAAGTAACTGCAACATCTTTTAAAAAAATATATATTTTAGTGATTTCAGAGAGAAAGGGAGAGGGAGAGATAGAGAAACATCAATGATGAGAGAGAATCATTGATGGGCTGCTTCCTGCACACCCCCTACTGGGGATCAAGCCCTCAACCCAGGGATGTGCTCTTGACCGGAATCGAACCCGGGACCCTTTAGTCCGTAGGTCGACGCTCTATCCATTGAGCCAAACCGGCTAGGGTGGAAAAGACAACTTAACACCAAAGAGTTCCTTGGCCAAAAAGGGAAGTGATCTTTGCCTTTGGAAAACTCTCAACATTGGGAAGAAACAGTTCCCATCTGACTCAAGGAAACAAAAGAGCTAAATATTGTCAACTTTTGGTTGTTTTTTTTTTTTTTGGTTTTTTTTTTTTTAATATTTTATTGGTTTTTTTACAGAGAGGAAGGGAGAGGGACAGAGAGCCAGAAACATCAATGAGAGAGAAACATCGATCAGCTGCCTCCTGCACACTCCCCACTGGGGATGTACCCGCAACCAAGATACATGCCCTTGACCAGAATCGAACCTGGGACCCCTGAGTCCACAGGCCGACGCTCTATCCACAGAGCCAAACCGGTCAGGGCTTAACTTTTGGTTTTTATATTAGTAGCAAGAGCAGAAGTATTTTCCAAATCAGATCATCTTAAATCATTTATATTTCGCTTTGGAGGGCAAAGACACCTGTTCAGGCTGAGAGCTGTCACCTACACCCATCTCTGCAGGGCCAAGACCTACCACCTTACCTGCAGGTGCAGGTGAGTGGAGGAGGTCAGAGATAATAATGGTACACTTTACATGTGTTAGTTTCACCTGTTGTAGCTGTGTGACCTTGGGAAGTACATAGGGAAGGGGACTTGGAAAAAAAATTCACAATGATACCTAATTGCAGAACCAGAACCCACATCAGGTATTCCAATTCCCAACCCTGCATTTTCTTTTCTCAAAGATACCCAGAGGTTAACTGAAGGCTAATGAAACATGACCAAGGAAGAGGGATTATAGGGAAAGAAGGTGCTGGTTGGTTTATAGGGAAAGAAGGTGCTGGTTGGTCTCTGGACACTGCCATTCTTGCAGTACAAAGCTTAAGTAAGATGCTGCCTTGTATTTTACTGCAAACAGAGCTGTTCTTGCTCAGCAGAGAGCCTTTTCTGGGAAGTAGGCAGGCAGTGTGAACATGACCAAGCTCAGAATGCAAATCCAAATCCAAAATTCTGGAATCCAGCACCTCCGAGAATTTCAGAATTAGAAGGGACCTGAGAGGGGCTCTTACTCCCTCTCTCTTAGGGTTTTTCAAGTTAGAATCCTCACTTAGATTTTGTAGAATCCATGATTTCTGAATAATGTAACCTTATGTTTTTAAAAAGAAATTGATCTCTTTCCCTTCAGCGTGCCACTGAAGATCCTGGTGTCGCCATGGGTCGCCGCCCCGCCCGGTGTTACCGGTATTGTAAGAACAAGCCGTACCCAAAGTCTCGCTTCTGCCGAGGTGTCCCTGATGCCAAGATCCGAATCTTTGACCTGGGGCGGAAGAAGGCGAAAGTGGATGAGTTCCCACTCTGTGGCCACATGGTATCAGACGAATACGAGCAGCTGTCCTCCGAAGCCCTGGAGGCTGCCCGTATTTGTGCCAACAAGTACATGGTGAAAAGTTGTGGCAAAGATGGCTTTCACATCCGAGTGCGGCTCCACCCCTTCCATGTCATCCGCATCAACAAGATGTTGTCCTGTGCTGGGGCTGACAGGCTCCAGACAGGCATGCGGGGTGCCTTTGGAAAGCCCCAAGGCACAGTGGCCAGAGTCCACATTGGCCAAGTCATCATGTCCATCCGCACCAAGCTGCAGAACAAGGAGCACGTGATTGAGGCCCTACGTAGAGCCAAGTTCAAGTTCCCTGGCCGCCAGAAGATCCACATCTCCAAGAAGTGGGGCTTTACTAAGTTTGATGCGGATGAGTTTGAAGACCTGGTGGTCAAGAAGCGCCTCATCCCAGATGGCTGTGGGGTCAAATACATCCCTAATCGTGGTCCCCTGGACAAATGGCGAGCCCTGCACTCGTGAGAGTCTCGGTGCTGCCTCCACCTTACACCCACCAATAAGTCAACTTTCCATCCATGAAAAAAAAAAGACTCAGTGGTTGAACATCAACCCAGGAAGGTCACAGGCTCCATTCCCGGTCAGGGCACATGCCTGGGCTGTGGGCTCTATCCCCAGTGGGGGACAAGCAGGAGGCAGCCCATCTATGATGTTTCTCTCTCATTGATGTTTCTCTCTCTCTCCATCTCTCCCTCTCGTTCTAAAAAATCAATAAAAACATTTTTTTAAAAAGAAAGAAATTGAGTATATGTAACTTGAAAAAAAAAAATGACCACTTGATAACTGAATATGACCACATGTGATTTTGGTGCCTTTTGAGTTTACAGTCACAGGGCAATGTAAAGTTTCCTAAATTGGGACTCTATATAAATGCTTTCTTAAGGCTCTAAGAGTTTTCATATTTGTTCCTTCCCACTCCCTCATCAGAGTCAGCCTTCCTGGCCCTGGCCAGTGTAGCTCAGTTGATTGGAGTGTTGTCCTGTACATCAAAGGGTCAAGGGTTCAATTCCTGATCAGGGCACATACCCAGGTTGTGGGTTTTATCCCCGGTTGGGGCACGTATGGGAGGCAACAAATCGATGTTTCTCTTCTCTCTCCTTCTCCCTTCCTCTCTCTCTAAAATCAATAAAAACTTATCCTCAAATGAGGATTAAAAAATAATAATAAAAGCCTTTCTCTTTCGGACAGCTCTCATTAGTGGAAAATTGGCTAAGTTCTGCCTTATGGGGTTATGTAGAAACATAATCCTGTGTCGTCCTAGGTAGTTGTTACATATTCTACAATTAATAGCTGGTTTCCTAAAATTCTTATTTTTTTCAAAGTAAACATTCCTGGCTTTCTGAGCACCTCATCACACTAGAATAGCAGGACTCTCCCATTTAGCTCTGCTGGCTCTTCCTACTCACCCGTTCTGACAGGAGCATTATAAGAGGAAATGGGGTACAGCAGGGCCCAGAGGGTGACTGAAGGATGTGCCTGTGAAGCTCTGCACATTCTGGAAATTGCTCTTCATATAGATACCTCCATTATCCCTTCATGGTTGTTACTGGGGACAGAATATAGTGGTTAAGAGAACAGGCTTCAGAGTCTGGCTCCCTGGTTCTAATTTTTTTAAAAAATTCATCTTAGAGAGAAAAACACCGAGTTTGTTTCTTGTTTGTGCCCTGACCAGGGATCGAGCCTACAACCTTGGCGCATTGGGATGACATGCTGACCGACTGTGCCACCTGGCCAGGGCCGCCCTGGGTTCTGGCTCTGCCTTTGTCTAGTGAGTGGCCGTAGGCAAGTCAGAGACTTAGACAAGTCCCTGAACCTGAATATCCTCATCCATAAAATGAGACAATGCACATAAAACACTTAGTAAAGTGTCTGGGACAGTCAATACCTAATAAAGTATTTCCCTTCCCAAGAAGCCTGCATTACTACTGTGATAATCAAAGAAAAACACAGATCAAGGCCCTTGCTGTGCTCCCAACATCTCAGGTACCCTTTCTTCTAATGGGCCTAGGACAGGGGTGGGCAAACTTTTTGACTCGAGGGCCACAATGGGTTCTTAAACTGGATCGGAGGGCCGGAACAAAAGCATGGATGGCGTGTTTGTGTGAACTAATATAAATTCAAAGTAAACATCATTACATAAAAGGGTACGGTCTTTTTTTTTTTTAGTTTTATTCATTTCAAACGGGCTGGATCCGGCCCGCGGGCCGTAGTTTGCCCACGGCCAGCCTAGGAAGACACGAGCCAGGTTGCATATACTCAATACCTTGGAGCACTCATGACATGTTAGGCTCTATGGGAGGAACTAGGGGATCAGGGATAAAACAAAGTCCATGCCCTGGGTTCATTCCATGAGTTGGTCAGTGCACAGACGAACAGTTACAGAATAGTGTATAAGAGAGTGGGGAACACGGGATGTAGCAGGAGCCTAGGAGGGACTCTTAACCTGGGAAAAGGGGTCCTGGAGGAAAAGACAGCTAAGCTGAGTTTTTATAGGGGAAGCAGACAAATGGCTGGATATTCTAGGCTGAAGGTGTGAAAGCCCAGCTGCCTAAGAGTAAGGTGCTTTTGAGGTACTACAACAAGATTGATGTGACTGGCCCAGCCGGCACGGCTCAGTGGTTGAGCATTGACCTATGAACTAGGTCACAGTTCAATTCCTGGTCAAGGCACATGCCCTGGTCATGGGCTCGATCCGGGGTGGGGCATGCCGATCAATGATTCTGTCTCATCATTGATGTTTCTATCTCTCTCCCTTCTCCCTTCCTCTCTGAAATCAATAAAAATATATATATTTTATTTATTTATTTAGGCATTTCAAATAGGTTTGATTTTTTTCTTTTTTTAAATATTGTTGAAAAGATTATACATGTCCCCTTTTCCCCCCCATTAACCTCCTCCAGCCCCCCGCCCCGTGCTGCCCCCTCCCTCCCCCGCAGCCCCATGCCCTCATCCCCCCCACTGTCTGCATCCATGGGTTATGCATAAATGCATACAAGGTCTTTGGTTGATTACCTCCCACTCCCCCACCTTCCCTCCAAATAAAAATATTTTAAAAAATATTTTAAAGAAAAAGAATGATATGACTGGAGCTTAGAGTGTGAGGAGCATTTTGGAAGTTGAGGCTGGAGAGCTAGTCTGGAGTCAGACCATGAAGGGATGTGGGTGCCATGCTGAGCAGTTTGGGCTTTGTCCTGAAGACTCAGGAGCCACTGAAGATTGTTAGCTGGGGAGAGATATGATCAAATTTTTGTTGGAGCAAGATGGTACTCTAGGAAGCAGACTGGATGTTCTAGGGAAAAGTTTTTCCTCCTCTGAAGAAGAACAGGGCCAGGGGGCACAATCATGAGATAAGGGATGGGGAGGTGGTCTTAGGCAGCTGCCTGTCTCCTCTGGAGCTCACTTTCAGGTAGGGGACCCTCTTGGGCTTTGGGGCCATTATTAAATGACATCCCTGACACACGAGCTTAGAGCTCATGTGACATTGAGTTTGCCTTCTGCTTGGTGTTGTGGTATATGAGAGAGTGTGCCAGGCATTCCCTGCCCAGAAGGCACTTACAGTGAAATCCAGAAAACCAGGCTCACTAGAAAACAAAATAACAAGGCTGACTGGGTATGATGACATGAGCTAGGTAGATAAGTTAACTGAAATTGGGGGCAGGGCGAGGGTGCAGCTCTCTGGGGTACTGTTAGAAAAGGTTTCCTGGAGAAAGCAGACTTTGAACTTGGCCTTGGAGACAGCTTAAATCCTGGGTCCCCTGTTGTAGTTTCAGAGGGCAGGCCCTATGGACCCACTCCTGAGCTTAAGTCACAGCTGCAATTTTACTTTTGTCTGGATGATTATTCAGTTTGTAACCATTTCCCCCCCGCAAGACCCTATGTTCTGTGAGGGCAGAGAACAGATTGGATTTTCCTCCCCTGTGTATCGGGGCCAGCACACAGTGTTATTCCCGTTTTACAATGAGAAAACAGTACGTTCAGGCTCCTGCGACATCCATCAATATCTGTTGGGTGTATGTGAGTAAATGAGTGAATGGTAAGGAAGAAGGGATAAAGCTTTCAGGGTGTGGAAATGATACAAGCAAAGGGCAGAGGCAGGAACACAGTATTGTTACCCCTTATGTTTGCACAGTGCTTTATTGCCCACAAAATGCACTGATACATGATCTCTTTTGATCATTACCATCAACTGCCTTGTTTGACCCTGTGCAATGAGCAGGGCAGGTTTTACAATGAGAAAACCATAAGTTCAGTGATTTTCCCCAAGTTTCACGGCTTCTTAATATGAGTTCAGACTTGAACCTGGTGTTTTAACACACAGTCTGGTACAATAACTAAACTACCATCCGCCTTGGCCTTGCGCAAAGGGGAACATCTGGTGAGACATTTGTTGAGACATGTCTGGAGGGGTGATCAGGGGCCAAGTCACTGAAGGCCTTAAGTTTCAGGCTAAGGAGTTCGGACTTTATCTTCTAGCTGTTGACAACCTTTGGGAGGATTTTTTAAAGCTATTTAATAAAGAATAAATATTAATGGTATTTGTGAGGTACGGTATAAGTTTAATTGCACATTAATATTTATTTAAAATAAACACACAGAAAGTAAGTTTAATTTTAAGACCAAGAGTCAAAGAGCCAGGAGTCAAAGGAGTCACCTCTACCGGACTCAGAGGATTGTTCATCACACACAACTTGGAGCAGCGCTATAGTCCAGGCATCATGCTAGATGCTAAGGGCACAGAGGTGATGGAGATGCAGGTCATTGTCAGGATGGAGAGAGATCGTGTGAGCAGCTAGAGCCAGCTCAAAGATCATTATTGCCATCCCGAATAATGGAGGATGTGTGTTTGAGCTGAAAAAGCCCTGAGGCATCTCCTCAAAAAAAAAAAAACAGCAAAGGCAGAACTTCAGTTCCTAGGAGGTGCCTGGGATGAAGCCCCTGCAGCCGCCCTGCCTTTCCTCTGGGACGGCCCCAGAGCGAGATGCAGCTGCTGTTGACAAATCAGACCACAAGGATGCCGACTTAGAAGACAAAGCCCCCATTTGTACACCAATAGCTTACGTTACTGTGAGGCAGTATCTGGGAAAAGCAGAACCATCTGCAGGGGTTTCCTCACAAAAGGCCCCAGGAAGAGCCTGATGATTTGGGGGGAGGGCAGGCATGTTCCTATCCCTATCACTGCCATGGCCAGCCATGGGTCAGGGTATCCCTCTGATATGTTTGGAATAGGGAAAGGATTGAAAATCACAAGCCTATGCTTAACCAGTTTGGCTCAGTGGATAGAGCGTCGGCCTGTGGACTGAAGGGTCCCAGGTTTGATTCCGGTCAAGGGCATGTACCTTGGTTGTGGGCACCTCCCCGGTGGGGAGTGTACAGGAGGCAGCTGATCGATGTTTCTCTCTCATTGATGTTTCTGACTCTCTATCCCTCTTCCTTCCTCTCTGTAAAAAATCAATAAAATATATATTTTTTTTAAAAATGCCATCATCGGAGTCTTCAGGCAAGTAGGAATCTTTTAAAAAAACAAACAAACAAAAACAAAACAAAACCACAAACCTAGGTTATTTGTAAGTTGTTTGACCCCAGGAAGGGGACTGGGCCATTAGATCTGGTTCTATGAAATAGGTATTAGAAGTAGGAAAGATCTAAGGAAGAACTTTCTAACTGCCAGGACTAGACTTCAAAGACAGCATGAAGCTGTCTCCAAAAGTCAGTGAGTGCCCTAGCTGGCTTGGCTCAGTGGATAGAGCATTGGCCTGCGGACTGAAGGGTCCCAGGTTCGATTCCGGTCAAGGGCATGTACCTTGGTCGTGGGCACATCCCCAGTGGGAGATGTGCAGGAGGCAGCTGATCGATGTTTCTCTCTCATCGATGTTCCTAACTCTCTATCCCTCTCCCTTCCTCTCTGTAAAAAAATCAATAAAATATATTTAAAAAAAAAAGTCAGTGAGTTCCCTGACACTGGACATATCCACATATAGACAGGAGAGATGATGTGGAGGAGATTCGAACTCTGGAAGGATGTTTGGACCAAATGGCTCTTTTGATCATGAGATGCAATCCTATTTATTGGGTGGTGGTTGTCAGTGCTATTGATGTTAAGAAGAAAGGTTTCAGTGACTGACGTGATCAGAGAATGATATTGAAGTACTTCATTCCTCCATGTATTGGATCCATGCTCTGCTGGGCATTATTCTAAGCACTTGGGATATTAGGGTGAAGAGAGAGACAATTACTACCTTAAAGGAAGCAGAGCACAGACGTACAGTTTAGGGAGAGGGAAAGGAGTTAAAGCAAGAGTTAAGGGCCACCTACTGTGTGTAAGGCACCATTAGGTGCTTTTATGTACAGTAGTCCCCCTTATCCGTGGGGATACTTTCTAATACCCCCAGTGGATGACTGAAACCGTGGATAGTACCAAGCCCCATGAATATTATGTTTTTTCCTATACATACATACATACATACCTTTTCACTTAAAATAAACACTTTATAGCTTCTCTTTGGTGTACCAAATTGCCAGCTTCACTGCTCTTAGGCTGTGGGGCCATTATTAAATAATTATTAAATATTATGGTGTCAGCCCGAAGTGGCATTGACCTATTAACCAGAAGATCACGGTTTGATTCCCGGTCAGGGCACATGCCTGGGTTTCGACTCCATCCCCAGTGTAGGGCGTGCAGGAGGGGAATCAATGATTCCCTCTCATCATTGATGTTTCTATCTCTCTCTCCTTCTCCCTTCCTCTCTGAAATCAATAAAAAATATTTTAAAAAATATTATGGTGTTATATGGGTACTAGATTTACCAGGGTGACCATTTCATAAGTTATGTAAATGTCTAATCATTTATATGGTTTGTACACCTAAAACTAATATATTGTACATCAACTGTAATTGAAAAATAAAACATTATTTAAAAAAAGGAAACGAACACTACATGACAGGATTACAGAAAGTAAGAGTGAAGAAACATTTTTTTAAAACTCAAGTAAAAAGTATGAGCCAAGGATTTTAGTTTTAAACTTTCAGAACTCAAGAAATCTTATATTCAAGAACTCCTGCTGACAATTCTACAAGGGGTCAAGTTTCAGCTAATTAAGAGATGATTGGAAAAGTTTGGCAAAAGAACAGATAATGAAAATTGAATAGGTTTAATTATAAATCTAAGACTAAAATATGGAGATACAAATTGAAGAGCATTCTCTGACAAGGTAGAAATACAACTTTATATTGGGAGCAAAGGGGACATGTAGAATTAGCTCAATGATTGGTGCCCAGGTTGGACGTGGGAGTCAGAGGATATAATTTAAACTAGCACACTACATAGTAGAAACCTAAGTGGTAAGGGTGCTATGGAGTGAGAGCTGAGGTCCTGAGGCTTTCCAGCATAGACCACCTCCTCTATCCTGGCTGATGGCTTCACCTCAGCTTCCTCATGCTCTGACCCTTGTGGTATCTTTTAATATTTCAAGCATTAAATAGGCTCTAGACAAACCTGAAACCGAAGGTCCTTATGATGTTGATTAAATTTAGCTTTAAATCTTAGCTCTAGAAATCATATCTCTCTCTATATATACACTCAGAAACCTAGCCTTCCCCTGGATAATCAGCAAGAACATTAGCCTGAATCTGACTAATGGTCACAAGGTCCACACTATGACAGGCTAACGGTAACACCTTTTTATTTTTAATATATTTTTATTGATTTCAGAGAGGAAGGGAGAGGGAGAGAGAGACAGAAACATCAATGATGAGAGAGAATCATTGATTGGCTGCCTCCTGTACACCCCCTACTGGGGATTGAGCCCGAAATCCCGGCATGTGCCCTTGACTGGGAATCGAACCCGACACTCTATCCACTGAGTCAAACCAGCTGGGGCAACATCTTGACCTAAGTTATATTTCAGCTCCTGAGCCCTAAGGTGGAATGACTCCTGGCTACTCTATCATGAAACCAGGAGGGACACAGGAACAGACCTCAGAACTGTCCCCAGTACCTGAAGAAATGACTTACTACCCTTCCCTCACCTCCGACCAATCAGCTCCCAGCATGATCCTCCATCTTCTCACCCAGTGTCTTGTGATTTTACCTTCTATAATCTAACCTAAACACTATTGGGGAGTTCAGGTTTTTGTGCATTAGCTTCCAGTTCTCCTGGGTGGTGCTGTTTATAATAAAATAGCCAATATTTCTCCGCTGCAAAAAAAATAAAAGAAAAAAATAAGCGTTACTTGAACACAAGGACTGATACTGGGACAGTTGACCTGATAACTGTGATGGCTGCTAAGTCACTTACAGGTGGGTAGGGTACAGGGATAGTTCACAACCCGGTGGGATGGAGCAGGACACTGAGGGTACATCACACTACTCAAATGCAGGCACTTTAAAACTTAGGAATTGTTTAATTCTGGACTCTCCCCTTTAATATTTTCAGACTGAGGTAGACCACGAGTAACTGAAACCATGGACACAAAACCGCGGATAAAGGGGGATTTCCAATTCTTTCAACAAGCGGTGACTTGCACTTCAGTAGAGGAGCCAGAATGAGAGGCTAAACGACTAGCGAGGCTTCTATGAACAGCTTTTGAACTCTGCACCAAACGGCTGTTTGTAGAGGGGGGAGCCGATCTCTCAATATCAGCTTCCTCTCGTGTGAAATGAGGATGGTGACAGGATCCGCCTCAAGGACTGAAGATTCAATGAGGTGAAGGGTGCTCAGTTAACCACAGCGACCATTACCTTTGCAGAGGCTGCAGAGCCAATGATGGCCAGGCCTGCTTTCGAGTCTCCCCCGCACCCTCCCGCGTGGGATGCGGCTCCCAAGAAGGAATTACGCTTCGGTCGCAGCCTCGCCAGGGATCTAGGGCCTCTCTTTCGCCGGCCACGCCCCCGAGCACGCCCGCTCTCGGTCCCGCCCCTTCCGCTAATCGGACTTCCGGCTCGCGAGCGCGCGCTGACGAAGCCCCGCCTACCACCCAGTAAGCGCCTCTGAGATTGGGCGAGCGGCGGCGGCGGCGGCCGGATCAGAGGCCCCGGGTATGTAGCACGCCGCGTGGGCGGGGGCTGGGGGGGCTGGTGGCTGGGCCCCCGGGGATCGGGCGGGCTGGCCTCGTTTTCTCCCGTTTCCGGGCCACCCGGCCCGTGTCCTGAGCTGGGCTGGACTCTGGGCGCACGGAACCACCGCCCGAGGGGCCCCAGGCGTGCTGCGTGGTGTGGAGTACGCGCCTTTTTTTTCAAGCCTTGGCTGCAGTTTATTGAGCACCTACTATGTGGCAGCCACCGGATCCAACGCTTTGACTGACATCTATGGCTCACTGCCTGGACAGCAGCCCTACTGAGCAAGGTGTTAATTTTCCCCGCTTGACAGCTGTGGAGAAAGGTTTACAAGCAGAAAGGGATGGAAAGTGTGGATTCAAACCCAGGTTCAGGCCAAAGCCACTTCACTCTAGAGCAGCGGTTCTCAACCTGTGGGTCGCGACCCCTTTGGGGTCGAACGACCCTTTCACAGGGGTCGCCCAAGACCATCGGAAAACACATATATATGTACATATTGTTTTTGTGATTAATCACTATGCTTTAATCATGTTCGATTTGTAACAATGAAAATACATCCTGCATATCAGATATTTACATTACGACTCATAACAGTAGCAAAATTACAGTTATGAAGTAGCAACGAAAATAATTTTATGGTTGGGGGTCGCCACAACATGAGGAACTGTATTAAAGGGTCGCGGCATTAGGAAGGTTGAGAACCACTGCTCTAGAGCTTTGTGGTCAGACCTAAAGTTCATTTTTGAATCCAGCCTCTGCCGTGTCCAATTTTGTGGCTTTGGGTACTATTCCGACTCTCAGTTTGCTCATCTGAAAAAATGAGAATGATACCTATGTCAGGGTGGATGGGACGTTTTTCTGAGTGATCATCTTCGCTTTTCAGACGGGCACCCCTCGCTTCTCTCTTCCCCAGGAGGCTAGACGTGTTGTAAAGTTTTAGTGAAAACCCCCTTGGCGCATAAAGGGCGGCTGGACCGCCTGCCTTATCTTCCTTTCCCAGCTTCCCAAATAGAGGCGTTGGCACCTTTGACATTGAGTTTGCTTACGAAGTTTTCAAAGAGTTTTCTCTCTCCCCTACTTCTGGGGAAATTTTCACCCAAATTAACTTTGACTAAGTCCTAAAGTTGAGGAAATGGAAGCTTTTGAATATGGGCTGGTGATTTTTACCTGAATAAATCAGATTGATTTGGCGGGGTGCAAACAAAGGCCTGGAAAACAGTGAAATGCTAGAGAGAGGGCTGGCTGATGAATAGAAAGTTGACCAGCCGGTTGGGTGGTTTTTTTTCCTAGCAGGGCCCTAAATTCCCACCAAATCCGCTTCTATCTTGAGCAGTCAGAACTGCCCTCGATAAAACTTAGAGGGCCTTCCTTCCCTGTGCTTTAAGGAGAAAAGATGAGGGCTGATAGCTGAAGGCAGGCAAACAGCAAGCTTAGGTTGGTTCTGAAAACTACCCACTTGCACATTTTTAGGTAGCTGGAATTTTTCTCTGAAAGTTGCAGTAGTTGCAAAGGATATAATTTATAGTTAATTGTAAATATTGACATTAAAAAAAATAAAACACCAGGAATTTAAATCTTCAGTGGAATCTAAATACCATAGTGATTTGATTTCCCTCATCCTTTGGGGGGAAAAAAATACACGAACCAGTTTTTATTTAACAGTTGAAATTTTGCATCGTTCCTTTTTCATTCTTGAACTCCTATTTCTGTTTTATTTCCTCCACAGAATTTTTTTTCTAGTATAATAGATTTTATGCTTGAAAGCCTTTGGTTTGTCATCCTACTTCTCTGCAACAAAAATTAAAACATTTTTGAAAATTGTGTTGTCATAATATTAAACATTTTCCTTGAGATTGAATTTTTACAATTTAAAATACACAATTGATCAAATATATTACTAGTTTTGATAATTGTTAAACATAAAAAGTTTTCTTTGAAATGCTTCTTTTCACAAGCTGAGTGGAAGTACTTGTTTTAGTTCATGCATTCATTCTATAAATGAGCACAGCTTTTTTATTCCATGTCTGTAAGCATTGAAAAAGTTGTTTCAGTCCTCGCTGGTTTGGCTCAGTGGATAGAGTGTCGGCCTGAGGACTGAAGGGTC